TTGACTGTAGATGCCAAAAATTGAGTTAACTATCTTGGTCTATGAAAACAAAAGAAATCCAGTATCAGCAGGGAGAGCAATGCCGTTATTAAACTCCTGGGTAGTTCAGTGGTTTAGGCTCCTGGTTGCAGAGCCAGAGGTTGGGAGTTCGATTCCCCATTGTGCCTCCTTGACAGGGGCTGGATTCGATGGTCTGTAGGGTTCCTTCCAGCCCAGTAGTTCTAAGATGATGATGATTATAAACCAGTTTAATTCCTCAATAGTGTGCGAGCTTTTGTGTTCTCTAGTGCTGAACAGCAGAAGGCCCTGCGAGAGTGGGAGTGGTCAGAAGCTGAAGTACAGAATTCTGTGTGATGTTTTAGGCCACAAAGCTTGCAATTAGAACTCTTGAAGGTGGAAAGTACATACTTGATGAGTTTCTTGTTGGCATGCAGGTATCACATGTTATCTAGCCATGCGCTGGAGATGAAGGCAGAATTGGTCTACATCTCTGGGAATAAATACACAACTGATAGCATCTTATACACATATATTCCTAAGACATTTGTATCTGTAGAGAGAAAAAAAGATTTTGAGCTTAAGGATCTTTTTCAGTTGACTGGCAAAATAGCCACTGTTGTGACAGGCGAGTTTGCATGTCGTGGAAGGACTTTTGTAATGCAAAGACCCAGGCTTGGTTTGCATCTGAACTCTCATGGACTACGGGATTGGCTAGAGACCCAGCTGTAGTCTTCAGTCCCAGCTTTACCAGGGCAAAGCTGAACACCACCTATTTACTGTGTAGGTAGGCAGTCTAAGAGATACACCCATAATCTAAACACAAAGCAGTGGATTTTGTGGTGTAGGAAGTACAATGGCTGTGATTAGTTGCTCGGTGGATTAAAACTGATGATTTCTTCAAAAAATTAAAAATGGGATTTTTAAAATTTAAATTGGAGTTTTTTAAAAATTTAAATCAAATTTATTTTAATGACATGCTTTTGGAGGAAAATCTAACTAAAGATAGTTTTCTGTTTAAAATACATTAGAGTTCAAAGGTTATTTAGCATGAAATAGAACTTAGTTAATATAGCATGAAGTTGTATATTCATGCAATATTTACATTTTTAGTAAACTAATTCAATTAATCCAAGTTATCCAAACTGAGATAACATGCCCTTTTTCCACAGTAAAAATAATATAAAATGAATGAAGTTCAGAGACAGACCTTAATCTCACCATTGTTCAAATCTTTGTACAAACAATGAACACTTTGATCTTTAAGCAAATACAAGAATATGTATGCTGTATAATGTTATTGTTTTAAGTAGTTCTCAAAATATGAGTGATTAACCTATTAAACTAAAATCTGTTCTGATATAGCTGTTTGATTGATCTGACAGGTTATAATTCTAAATATGAAATCTTCATCTGTTTACAAAGATTAAAGATTAGAACTACCAGCAAGAATGAGTCTTTACATTTAAAAATTATGATTTAAATAGAGCTTTATTGACTTAAGGGACATGGTGGCACTGCGGGTTAAACTGCAGAAGCCTCTGTGCTGCAAGGTCAGAAGACCTGCAGTCGGAAGATCAAATCCCCGTGTTGGAGTGAGCTCCCGTCGCTTGTCTCAGCTCCCGCCAACCTAGCGGTTCGAAAGCATGCAAATGCGAGTAGATAAATAGGGACCACCTTGGTGGGAAGGTAACAGCGTTCTGTGTCTAGTCGCACTGGCCATGTGACCACGGAAGATTGTCTTCGGACAAACGCTAGCTCTTTGGATTGGAAACGGAGATGAGCACTGCCCCCTAGAGTCGGACACGACTGCACAAATTTTCAAGGGGAACCTTTACCTTACTGATTGGTGATTTAAATCATGATCCAACTTGGCTAGTTGTTGCCAAAGAGGCATAGTGATGTGCCTATTTGTGGTCTCCTTGTACTCAGCTTTGTACAATGTAGTCTTTTGGGATATTTTTTTTCCTTCAGCAGCCCATTTCTGTTTTTCCCCCCTTCCTTTCTGTGGTCTATCTTCTCCTTTTAGTTTTTTGTTCTTGAGCTCAAATTGGTTCTACTTTTCCTCAGCCTAAAAGTGCACGATGATTCCTCAGAAGCTGTGTGGGAGTTGAGGGACACCCCTGGGAGCTGTCCGTTTGGCCCTGTCAGGGTACTATCCCTTTCCTTTGGTAACTTGAGCCTGCTTCTTCCTCCATCCCCCTCAGGGCACACATGTTGGGTAGCTGTCAAAATGCACTGCTGTGTTAGGAGCATTCCACGTTTTAACTGAATTTTTAAGCAGAATAGTTTTCTTTCACGATTGCTTGGTTACACATTTTAGGGTAGTGTGGATGAATCACTGCCTTGTCAAATGTGGCGGTGCAGAGCGTAGGTTTCCCAACACCTATGAGTCACGACAAAACTGATTCTCCTGGAGATGCTGTAGAATTTGTTTTTTCTGTATGAGGAGTCATATTGGGCTATACATGTTTGGAAAGGCCATCCTTATTTCAAGTGGACGATCCATCCAGTGTGTCGATAAGTCTACAAAAGTTACTAAGTCTGAATTTTTGTAGCAAGAGGAGTGGAAGCCTACAAGTATTGTTAGAGTGCAACTCTCTCATCATCCTCAGTACTATACAGGGTTGATGTAAATTGCAGCCAAGCATCTTGAAGGGTTCATGACCTTCACCCTTAATCTCCAGCAATCAGAGGAGGGTTTAAATGCAAAGATAATATACATGCATGTTTGATGTCTATAGGCAATGACACAGAGAGTGACTAGGCCATTGCAAATATTTTATTTTTATTTATTTATTTATTTATTCCACCAGGAATCTGCTCTGATTTCTCCCCTATTAGTTTTCATATCCAACTTTCCATCATTAAGTGCAGATAGATCCATTTATCGATGTAAAAATTAGAGATGAGCATGAACCAATGAATGGTTCAATCTAGTTTGTCCTTTGGCTAAACAGGTGTTCAGGGCTTTCCAGTCCCACTTCCTCAAGTGGGTGCCTAGTCAGAGGTAGCATCCTGGTTTCCCTGTCCTGCTCCCTCTGGATGCTGCCTCTGAGTGGATACCTGCCGGAACTTCCAAAAACTTGTTCCTCCAAAGGATGAACTAGTGTGAACTGCTGGTTCAGTGATTTGTGCCTATCTCTAGTACAAATATGTAACAGCCCTGATAATTCGAGGTGCACCTAGTTTTTAATCTTAAAGCAGCTAGACCTGTTTGTAGATCAATGTTTTACTTTAAAAAAAAACCCTCTTAAGAGTCAAGACTGGCTTCCATTGTTTTTATGCTTTTTTTCTCTCTTAGAGGTCACTTTAAAAAACGCTTAATGGGTTTCTAGTTTCACTAAATTATCCTTATTAGTTCTGGTCTTATTCAGGAATACAGTGGTGCCTCGCTTAGCGCTAAACGAAACGAAACGAGTTCTGGTCTTATTCAGGAATACATTTTTTTTCTTGTGAATTAGCATTTGACTGATTTTGGTGTGTTTAATATGACAAGATTTTATTTTATTTTTTGATGGAAGAACATGAATTGCTCTCAGTAAATGCATTTATTTGCAGGGTTGTGCAGTGTTCTGTTTAATTCTTTTGATGTGCAGCTGTAGTCCTGCCACCTTTGCATGAATGTCTGCAGCTTGTGTGTGCCTAAACCATAGTTTTGATTCTGCTACACTAATTCTGTAGAGATATTTTTGCATCCCTTTTTAGCTGTAATCTTGTATATTACAACTACAAACAAAGATGTGAGGACATATATCATAGGGATGTGCTCCTCAGATAGTCCAGATGTGCTAGAGTTCCCCATCTGCTAAATACCTAGAGACAGTAGTAAGATTTCGAGCCAGCACCAGATGGAAGCACCTTTGTTTTTTTCTCCCTCTTTCCAATGTAAGGAAGGAGCAAAGCTGCCAGGTGGGTCATCTGTAAAGTTTAGGAAGTTACTTTCTGGGAGTAAACTCTCAGAAATTATAGCAACCCCCTTGATCACTGGTTGCTTCTGGGAACAATAGTCTCAGAAAGTAACCTTTTGAATTTCTGACCTTGCGGATGAATTGGCTCAGGTATGTATTTCCATACTCCTCATAGAGATTGTGCATTTACACAGAATGCTTAACATGTTCTCCAAGATTCCTGCCAACCCTTGTCCTGCTAAGCCTTAAAGACGCAGGCCATTACTATGTTGGGCAATGGCCACATCTGACTGGGACTTTCCTGGAAGGGAGCTGATAGTCTCTTCCGTTGTAGAGTTTTTGATGCTGCCTTGAAGGTCAGAGGCAATAAGAGGCAGAGAGGGGTTCAGCTGATGATGACTCACTTCTGGAAGCATCGTTTCAGTGACATGATCTGCAAAGCTGATGGATGCTTTGCCAGTTTTGAACCCTGCTTACAGGTGTATGACATCATCTTGCTTTAAATTCCACTTGAGACATTTGGCACCGTCTCTTGTTCATTCTTTTATGTACTTTGTCAAATCCCTTCTTCCTCTTGGAAAAAGGTAATGAGAGGTAAGGTCAGACCCAAATACAGGTTTACACTCTATTATGTATACATCCCATGAATGAGATAATATGTTTATGCTGTTGCTAGACTTTAGCAGTGCTATTTTAGAAGTGCACATTCAGAAGTAAATCTCCTTTCTCTGTTACTATACTGATATGTGATTGTATGGGCTTGGTGACTACAGAGCAGTTTTCTTCCATCTGTTGCTCTTTCCTTTCATTCTCAGTGAATAATGAGGGTTGCAGTCTATTCTACCGAGATAATGGTGAGTTGGAAACATCTTCTATGAAGTCCCAGGAATGTGTGCTACCTCATGAGTAGATTTTAGGACCGAGTGAATTTCAGGAATATTTCTGGGGAAATAGTGTTTTGTTCAACACTATTCTACTTTAAGGTGATGTGGGTGATGCCTGCAGAATGTAGGGGGGAATGTACAGTACACTGAAACATGCATTTATATGTATATGTGTATAATCTGTTTCTTGTTTATTATTTCATTGTAGGTGTTGAAAAAGTCAAGAGTTTGGATGTTTGAGTGGAATAAATATGAAGAGTTTGAAAGCAAAGTTCAGGAAGAGCGATGTAAGTATTCAGTGGCAACTCAATGCTACCAGTTCCCTCTCTGTTAGTCTTCTTTGTAGTAACATTCCTTCACTCTCACCTTGATATATATGTGAGTTAATGAACTACAGAGGTGAACATGGGAATACATGGCCATAGAGAGAATAAGAGTTTATGTTCTAAAGCAGAATTCAGAACTCCTTTATCTATGTCAAAGACTGTTGCCGAAACTGAATTTTGGTCCCTGTTGGTTCATGCTCCTGACTTAATGATTGCAGAGCAAGACCTTTCTGTAACTCCCATATAAGGTGATACTGGCTTCCTTAAGATAAGAGGGTATACTTTTATTTCATTGTTTGTATTAACTAGACAGAAATGGCAGAATTGCTGGAACCCCTATAATTCTGGTATACTGGAGAGGGGGGGTTCTAGCTTTGGCACATCAGTTACATACATCCTAAACCTCGGTGTAAATAGCATGCCAGGTGAAGCAACATGTTATGCATTTAATAAAGAGGGTGCAGTCCAAGAAAATTTATGTCAAATAAAACTTACTGGTACAAGACTCTTCACTATAACTCTGGTGTCATTCTGGGCTTTCCCAGGGCTTGTCCCATTGCAAGACATTCTTTGTCTTTTATGTAGAGAGCTGATAACGCCAGTAATTGGCTGTCCCATATCTGAATGTCTCAGCTGATGGTCTTTGGGGAGTTTCAAGCTCTGTTTATCCCAGACTCCTGCTGCAGTTGGTTGGGCTGAGAGGAGTTGGAAGGTACGTTAGAAACCACAGGACGGGGTACATCACATGTTTGACCACAGAAGTTGGTGAACTCATTCCCTGGCTGATATGTGAGATATGGACTGAAGAGAGATCTCTGAATCCAGTTTGGTTGGAGGAGGCATATAAGTGTACTACTTGTAATTCCACTATTTATTAGCTTTCTGCAAGTTCAGTAAATGTGACAGTTGTAATTTGTGGGATTGTGAAAAAATGTGCATCCAAAAAAGTGTTGTAAGCCATGAAATGTGTGAACCCATTCAATGAAGCTCATTCATAATTTGAGACAGTGTGGCCTGTTGATTTTTTATGCTAAAAGATAGTAGTAAAATGTATGTATCTCAAGTCTGCAGTTGTTTCTTGAAACAAATGGCTTCTAAATTTGTACAAATCTTTATCTCTTCTGGCATAGCATGCTCCCCTTCCAAATAATCTCTGGATCTTTGGATGGCTGACTTCACATTTCTAAGAAAAGGAAGAACTAAAACAGGAGTTCCCACTCTGATCAGTACCATAAATTGTATGCTTGCAACACAAAAATATTGCATGTTCCACAGATGGCAGTTTTTAGGATGTTCCTATTAGTTGAGGGAAGAGCAGAGTTTGTAAAAGCCAATGGGGCTCGTGGGGGATGCTAGGCATTGTAGTCTTTCAAAAACAGGACATTTCTAGATTCCACAGAAGAGATGCAGGCCACGAGTACAAGTTGATCTCGTAGCTGTTGTATTGGGCCAGACTGCCTTTATTTGCTCCAGTTTTCAACTAATTACAAAGTTAAATATTTTTTTCTTTTTAATATGCTTTTAGAACAAAGTGAATGACTTGCTTTCTGTCTTTCTGCTTGACACTTTTAAAATTGGGATATTTTTAAGTTAAAGGGAAAATGTGATAGGAAATGACTAACATCAGTGTGGAGGACATAGAGTACTGGAAAACAGTATAAACACTGCTGTGTCTGGTAAAAAGCATATAGTGTATTCCAAGGTACTGAGTAATGTCACTATTATTCTCCAAAGCCCTTCCTCAAAATCCATCTTTTCTGTGAGACCTTTTGCAGAAGTCTCTAATTCTTATGCAAGTCTAAAAAATGAAATTGCCACGTATTAGTTCCCTGTTGGTTTTGTCACCAGTTCTTCCTTTATTTCCTTTCTAGGTTTACCTCTTGCATTGTAGATTGGAAGCTTTTGGGGACAGATTGCCCTTTTAACTCTTTTCAGTTGTTGTAGATGATATGAGATACATTTGTGATGCATGTAAATAGAAACATCCGGTTAGATGATTCAGGTCCTGCTTTCAGTCCTTGACATGGTCAGCTTGAGGACAGTCTTGGGTAAGCAGGACTGAGAAAGCGCCGTTTCCCATACAAGCTACTTTCCAAATATGCAGTTGACTGATAGCAACTTGTGGCTCATTGAAAGGCATACCTCTCTGATGCCTTGTGATGTAGCAGGGTGACTTTTGGTCCTGGACTTCAATGGAAAAATATTAATTGTGTGCCATCAAGTCAGGGTTTTTAAGGTAGCGAATACAGTACTCAGAAGTTATTCTCTTTTTCTGGCAGCATCCTAGGTCTCTCCAGCTTGCTCCAGCTACATAAGCTGGCTCTTTCTATGAAGCACAGTGGGAAATTGAACTCCCAACTTCTGGCCAGATGCTTAAACCACTGAGCTATCCAGCCAGCTTTAGTGGAGAAAAAGAGGTGCTTTAAACAGTGTACGTTATTTCAGTTTTGAAGGATATAAGCAATATTTCTCGTCCACTTGCTACTCTTTCATGGTTTACAATTGCTTCTCCATTTCCTTTTATGTTAGAGCAAAGATAAGCAGAGAGAGAGAACAACACAAAAATGTTGAGCACTTGCACTTTCTTACTTCAGACTCTCTCTCTCTCTCTCTCATTGAAAATGTAAAACTGGGTACTCATACAGTTGGGTTGTGTTTGTTTGGGGTTTTTTGGCAGCTTCTCCCCATTTCAAAATTGTAATACCATTCTCTCTCACTCCCCTGAATAAAAATTATATTAGATCAAATAAAAAACATATACATTTTTGGTTTACCCATTAGATATGGGAGAGTGGAATTTTGTAAGATACTTACTCTAAGCAAATACATGGAGAATGACTAATTTTATTTTTTTAAGTCATTTTTGATTGTGTAAGAACCTAAGACTGACTTTTAGGATGTGAGTTTTCATAGGCATGAGTAGAGACCAGTAGTTCAAAGGCAGTTTTTCCTTCAGTTAGATATGTAAAATTCTTTCTATTTGGAGAGGGAAACTGTGCTGGAGTATATTTGTTTTTAATCAAATTTTTGATAAAACTAGCATGTGTGAAACTTGTTTTTTCTTTCTGCAGTTTCTGTGACAAATGATTTAAGCAGATCACATTATCACATGCAGGTGCTGCTTTACTCTTATTGGCTAGTGAGATAATCCAAAATTTCTCAAGATGCAGGACTGATTTACATGAACTGTCAGTTTGTTCGCACTTTCATAAGCCCCAAACTTAGTGAAGTCCTAAAGGAGAGTATGGGGGGGGGAGGATCTGTCACATTCCAGTTCTGCCCAATTTTTCAACTATCCATAGCTACATATTTTGATTCTAATACCATGTTTCTTTCTTTTGAGTGAACATGGAGAGACACAACTTGTAAAATACAATGGCTGAAATTATCTCATTTTATAGTCCATGATTTCCTCAATTGGAGAGAACAGGGATTGAACATGGGACCTGTGGCATTCAAGACACAACAGTTTTCTAAGCTGAGTTATGTGGTGATAGCTGGTGCCTACTGAGGTTGGTGGGGCAGAACACAGCACAGATGGGCAGAACATGGACAAAGCCAATGACAAAAGTTAACATTGAAATTAACGCAATGTTTTATACATGTACATGAAGATAGACAAGCATTCACACATATACATGTGTACAGAATTGACAGGGGTCCTGACTGGAGATAGCAGGAGTGTGCTGGCTCTAGGGCCTTGTGCCCAAAGTGGGAAGAGGACCCATTTGCCCTAAAAGAAAAGCCACCACTGGAGTTACAGCTTCTCTACCATCCCGTGTGGCTCTGTGAGAATGGAATAAGTTCATTTGTTATAGAATACTGATTGCCTGTCAGGAGAAGAAAACTGGAATAAGGAGGAGAATGGAATTGAATGTTATGGAGGAAGGCATAGTTGGTTGGCTGAAACATTGACATGTCACATTGCACTTTGCAATTGTGTGTTGCCCATCCCCCTTATCCCAATTATCAGTACGTTCCATCACAAGTAGGGGTGCAACACTCCAAATTTCAGTCTGTCTAAGGCAGGTGCAAAGAAGCCTCTGGCTGTGTGTGAAACTGTTTTGTGAACTGATCCTTTGAAGCCTTGCATTGGAGAGCACACTGCGTGTGCTTTCCTGATTCTTGTGATCCGTGTGGTGTTGTGTATCTCCTTTGCAAAGATGAATTCTAAAAATTATTCCATTGCTCTCTGGGTTGGGGTAGACACAGAAACAGAGGTTGGTGAGACTCCTCCAAAAGTCCAAAAGCTTCAAGAGGACAATATCTTGGAGACAACAGTGGTGGTGGTGGTGATGAATCATCACGTCAGCTGTGACCTGTGGTGGTCCTCTTAGGCTTTTCTAGGTTAGGTGCAAAGTACACAGAAGCAGTTCATCAGTTCCTCCTTGTGGTGGCATCTTAGAAATGTGCAGCTTGCCCAAGGCTGTACAGGTGGCAGGACACATAACGTCATCAGTCACAGCTCCTCTAGGTGATCTCAACTGGCCCTTCTCTTGGAAGGCACAGTGGGGATTCGAACCCCTGAACCCAGCCCAGCACTGCAACCAACTGAGCTGTAGAAACAATTGCACTATAGTGTCTTTCTATACTTATTCTTCAGACTAGGGGGTAAAAAATATAGGAGGTGTGGGGAAGCACAGATGTGCAAAAAATGGCTGGATTTTGAAGTAATGAAATCCACAGTTAAACTAAGTTCCAAGACAAAGAATTTAAAAGTAAAAACCCTTACTTGTATAGAGGCTGTTAACTGTCACCTCTTAATTACTGCCATTCTTGGAGAAGAATGAGCAGAATCACACAGTTCTAAATTTTGCAGAAAGTCTGGGATGGTAATTGGTTCAGACGACACTATACCAACTAGAGTATAGTCCCACCAGCTAGCAGGATAGTTCAGTGGTTTAGGTATCTGGCTGCAGAGCCAGAGGTTGGGAGTGTCTCCTGAAAGAAGAGCCAACCTG